GAAGTCCCAGTCATCATGTGTACCACCAAAGTGTTGGTCCACGAGGAAACTCAGATCAAATCCATCGGCCCTCACAAAGCTAGTTCACCAGTACCCTAATACTAATACCCCAATTCTATTCGAAGCCGATACCAACACATCTCGGGAAAAACATCCGCGTTTGAAACACAAGACGACTTGGGCTGCCCTGTGTTGGTAATTGAATCAATTATTTTTTATTTTCTGTTGGCTTTGGCTGTAGTGGTTTTTGCTGCTCTTCACGCGGGATTAAGGCTCTGCGATGAATCAATCTTTACACCCCCTCCGACGGCTGGGGAGTCGTCGATAGAGCGGTAGAAGGTAGCAATCAGTTATATCTGTATTGCGATTGATTGCTGGGGTCACGGTCGGATCTCTCGAATTAACCACGTCATTCTACTCGTCATTTTCGGGCATCAGGATTAGGACGGGGTTCTTGCGCTCTAGCTCAATGGTCACAAGGAATCCACCTGTCGAAGTATATACTTTCCCATCTGCTCGAAACGAATAGGGTGTGCTAAGATTGGATGTATAAAACACACATGACATGAGCTTATATAGAGTATAATCTTTGGGTATCTATATCTTGTGACCGCTCCACGATGGGCGCAAGTTTCTTGCGAGGTGAAATCATGCCAGAGCCAACGTTCATGGGTGCTCTTAGCTGCGCCTTCCCTGGTTCTCAATACATGTCACTGTCTTAACACCGCCCTTGGCCTGTAATAAGCCCGTGGTTGACATAGAAATCCTAAAGAATCCTCCAGAGTCCCGGGTACAGGCGACGAACGTTCCCTCGCATTAGACCTGGGGTGCATTTATTTCGAGGTTCCCGGATTCGCCTTCCAATCCACCTGTATGCACCCTAAAATCCCTGGGGAACTCCCGCTAGACCTTTTTTTGCACCTCTATCATTAGATTGCGTTGGTCATATCTATTAGAACTACCTGATACGCTAAAAATCGAGGGTCCCTCTCTCTGTGCCACATTGCTGTATCTACTAAAACTTGGCATCACCATGTCTACGGGCACCCTCAACGGTCCCCGAAGGTCAGAAGTTTCCGGTTGAACCACATTTTACTCGTGCCCGACTCTTTTGGCGTTATGCGCGGCGGTCCCATTTTGATTTCGATTGCCAAATTTGAACACTTATTTTCTGCTATTTTCTGATTCTTTTTGTTTTTTTCTTTCTTTCTTTTTTGAGCAGGGGATAGCCAATTCTTTCGCGCTGAGTGCGTATCGTCTTGACCTGCGCCACTCTAAAATAACGAGCCTCCTTAATGGGATCACTCTTTTGATAAATCTCTTCGAACTACTGCTCGTTCAATTAAATATCTACCCATGAATTTGCTTGGATATATATATCCACCTGAACCAAAGATTTTTCTCATGTCTGTCGAGCGCCACCGTCAAGAAGCGCGTTACTTCTGATCCTGAGGCCTGGGCGCTGGGAAGAATGCTGCACGGCAGGCACTCATCCTAGGGTTCGATCCACCGTTCTTAAATTCTACATGTCGTATAAGTTCAGGGAAAGCACAACACTGCTATCACCGTCCCGAGATAGGAGCCTGATTCTTAACCACGCCTGCACCCTCAATAGCCCGTTAAAATATTGCCTTTGAGTGCTTAGAGTCGCTATCGCATCGCCGAATCTGAGTTACAATACACATTGGCATTATTGAAGACAATTCGATTTCATGATATAACCAACGAATACACGCAGCCTCAGTACCAAGCACCAGTCAGTCTCAAGTCCAAAAATCCCACAGAGTCAACTCATTTAGCTGCTTCGTCCACACATACTCCTGCTCCAGAACCTTTATCCTTATCCTTCTGTTTATCTTTGTCCTTGTCCTTCGGCTTTCCGATCTTCACCCCCGTGAGCTTCGTCCTCGCAGTTCGCGCCGCAGACGACACATGTCCCTCCAACGGCACGACCGGACGCCCCTGTAAGTTCGAAGGTGGTACGATGGGCAGCGCTGGGAGTGTCGCCTTGGGCTTCGTGTGGGTGTGGGGCTTTGAGTTAATGGTGGTAGGAAGAGCCGGAGGCGGCTTGGCAGGGAGAGAAGCGTGGAAGAGCGGCGTTTTCGATGTCGTAGTTGACTGGGAAGTTGATATCAGGTGTGAAGGGCTTGATGTTGAGCTGCAGGATGTGGGCTTTGGCTTTGGATTCGTGCTTTCCATCTGTCGGAGCTTGGCCTCCATCATGGCAATCTTATTCTTCGTCCTACACATCGGACAGAAAATCAGTAGTCAATACCCGAAACAATCGAGGTTACTTACCCATCATGCCTGCCACCACCTGTAGCACCACTCTTCAGCAGACTGAGTGTAGTCGGACGACCAGTCTCCATCATAGTCTTGCGTTTCGCGCCAAACGCTGCGCCGCCCGCATCAACTGGCGCTTGGTGCGCAAATGTCACGACCAGCTTGCGGCCCCGTAGTAACTTGTCATGCGCCGTGCCCAACGCTCTACGGGCCTCCTGCGAAATTTAAACGCACGGATTAGCACTCGATCAGAGCCGTCCCAAGCTTCTGCAGGCCCCGGGTGCCCATCTGCATCTGCACGGCCCTCTGCGCACATGGATAGATGCGTGCAACAGCAAGATGGGCGGGTAGGTATGTATAAGTGTGTGCAGCAGAACAGACGATAAGAGACCCGGGGTCAGCACATGTTCTGGGGCATACAGGAGAGAACACTTACATCTGGAGACCCATACTCGACAAACGCGTACCCACGCGGCTTGCCCTTGAGAGCACCCGCCTTGTGGAAGAGGAAATCGAGCTTGGTGACCTTGCCGAACTTGGAGAAGACCTGGAGAAGTGTATATCTGTACGGTTATAAGTAAGTGGAATGCACGGATGGGTAAGAGGAAGCACTACAGACTCGTCGACGGTGGGATGGAGGTTGCCAACATAGAGGCGATCTGTGAGGAGCTGCCGAGGGGTAAGCACGGGCGCGGTGGAGGATTCTGCTGGCGATTCGGTGAGAGTGGACGGGAAAGAAAGATGTTCGATGAGCTCGAGTGTAGCAGTGTCGTCCATAGCGAGTTGCAAGAATTGCAGTGGGATGATATCCAGCTACAAGCTACAGAGCATTGGAGCCCCAGGTACCTCCAAGACACACAAGCATTAATGGGGTAGTGGTAACCTGGGTCGTTGCCATTTGCGAGTGTCATCTCGACCCGCCGGGGGTTCGATTCCCCCTTAATGCAATACTCGAAATACTTGTACCATTTTTTATTTATTTATCCTGCCCCCTTCGGCGTTGTTCACTTCATTACTTACGAACGCTCACTAGCGCTGACCAGTCTGTAGTCGCTACTCATAGTGCTCCGCAGAATCAAACGAAAATAACATTTAAGCAATACGGTATCAAGTATAAAACTTGCGATTCTCGTTCGCCCCAAAGAGATCTTTCCTGATCTCTGGCAACATCTAACCAGGATGGAATTGAATTATGCAAGACCTTGTAAGTCCACAATGGAGGCTCACCCGGTCTTCCAGCAACCGCAAACGTTCGTCTAGTGTATTATCGAGCGTAATGCGACGCGAGCCACTTACAAGCTTCACACCTCCCGCACTACCAAGCCCATCAGCATTAACACCTCAAATCTTCAGCGAAAACACTTGTACTCACCTGTCGCCGCTTAGGGTACCTTCTACACCAACCTGAACATCCCGTCCACTGATCTCCTTGTATGTCTTTGTCGCGTTCTCCACTGCCTGCGTCGCAAGTTCCACATCGCGCGCACGCGTATGTACCGTGACGGTCGGCTCGAGTACAGACAGCAGTCCCTGTACAATGATGCCCTCGAGGAACTGCACATACCGACCCTCGTCCTTTGCGAGTTCCACGACCGCCGCGCGGGACGTCGCGAACAGGTCCTGCAAGTGCTCTTCACGCCGGTGCAACAGCTTCAGCCGCGACTTGTTGGTCAGGTTCGACTGGGCACTGCACATGGGATGTCAATTACGGCGGAACGGTAGCTTTTGAAGTCACGGATGGCGCACATCTTCTGCGCAACCTCGGCACCCTTGCGCTTCTTCTCGAATTGTGAATCGATCGCCTGCTGCTCCTGCTTCACAAGCTTGGCCTATGGTGCGTGCTGGAACATAAGAATAAACACCAGGCATATAAAAGGCCGCGTACCTTCTCGATCGCGAACTCTTCGTCGGCCTTGACCTTCAGTTCACGGGCTTTCTCAAGCGCCTCCTGCTTGATGAAAGCGACCTATAAAGCGAAATCATATCCAAATACAAGCACAATTGCAAGGCGCTCTTCAGCAGAGGATGTGGCAATCGTCTGATCTATGCGCACCATCTTATTCATCTGGTTGAGGACCTCGTCATCGTTTAGGGCTCGTGTCGACATGGTGGTGGCGGACGGGGTGGACGGTGCGGGAGGACAGTCGGCCAAGATCGTCGTGACTGTAGGTCACTCTGATCGGCTGTGACAAGTGTCGTCACTGTATCCTCTGATGCTCTTTGCCTAACTTGAACCACCATGTACGATTTTTAGCGCCACAAAATCCTTTCTAGAGAATCTAGTCTGAAAGAAACACAGAGATCTACAGAGATCTGATTTTAGTGGTTTACTTTCCCGGCTTTGATGGTCAACAGCTTCCCGAGCTCTAATCTGGCCGCATACATACACCCTCTACGCTCTAAACCAATCTCTAAACCATTCTCTCTCAATTTAATCGGCCTGCTTCGCACAAATTCTACTCTCTTCTGAGCTATTTATCTCAAGACTCTTCCGGCAGAAAAACAGCTCTGGCCACAACCCTTCCTTATTGCCGTGCCCTGCATCTCCTTGTCCTCCCACTGCCAGACTCGGCACCCTCCATAAACCTCCAGTAACTCCTCTTTTCGGGCCATAGCAAAATACCCATGAGCCTTCATAGGAACACCATCCACACTGAGAGCCTCTTGATTGGCCGCTTGTCACGGTACTTGCTTGGGCATCTCCGGGTCTCTATCACGGGCGTTTAGCGCAGTGGTAGCGCGCATGCTTTGCATCGGCACGCGGTCAACGCGTAACGACTGCTCCCAGCAGAAACTTGTATGAGGCCCAGGGTTCAATCCCCTGAACGTCCAACTCTTTTTGCTCCTCGCCACTTTGACGCTTTCTGGACCATAGATGGTCCGTGACAGTAATAGCGTGTTTTTCAACTTGCACATTTCGATGTTCCTTCTGAATGCACTATTCAATAACTAGCCACTAGAATTTAATTTGTCACGACCATATCTCCAACCCGCTGTTCTTGCAACTCCAGACCATCTACAGCAAAATTAGGATTGGATCTACTAAAAAGCAAATCAACTAATATGCATGATACAAGAAATAGTGGCTTCGCCACGCCTGGTATTCAAGTTAGCCAGCTCAACATAAATCCCGGAGTAAACATTTTTGGGCAACACGCAGTCACATTCTGTAGTTGCATAAATGGACATCGGAGACATACATTGATTCAGTTGGTCTTTCATTGGCTGCATGACAGGACAGCAGATGTGCTTATATGCGAACAAAGTAGTGGTCTAGGGAGGGGACAGTGTTCAGAACCAGCAGTGACAAAGCCGATTAGGAATATCCGTTCTTCGAGTTCACCGCGCGCGATTGAAACCACCCGTGGAGATACTTTCAGGGAGGTTTCCGAGGCAATCGTCCGCGGCAGCTTTGTCCGCCGTTAGGGTGATGACAACATCGCCGCCGACACGGAAGACGTCGTAAAAGTCGAAGTGGCAGCGCGAGGCACTCGGCACGCCGTTGATGGTAACGTTCTGCACGTACGCCGCGGTCCCGGGCGGGATGGTCTTCTGCACGGATTTGGGATCATAGTTGAGCGTCGTGATGGTGGTGCTCACACCCAGGAAGGAGTTGTGGATGGTGTACCTCGGAATGAAGGGGGAGAGTACGAGGAATTGTGTTGTTGATGGAACTGGAGATGTGGGTTATGAAACAAGGACACAGTGGATGAATATGAGGTATGTACCTGGGTAGAGACCAAGGAGGTGGAAAGATAACAAAGAGGCCATAGCAGCCTGGTCATCATTACCTGGCAATCCAGCAGCAGCTTCACACTTTCATTAGAACCAGAATCTTTTCCTATCTAGAATAAGGACTCACTTATATCAAAGTTCGTGAATACAACCTCTCGAACACGATCAACAGACTTGGCGGGATGGTTTGCGTAGTGATATCCAACCGGGGTCTAATATTGGGAAAATAAGACGAGTTGCTGATTTGAATAGAATCCAGCGCTAACCTGGAATGAGGGCTCATTTCCAGCAAGATAGTATCCAGCCTGTGTACGCGAGTAAATGCTGATTCTGGGATCGCTGCTGGGCGGCGATACTCACGTCGAAGAAATGGTCGAGGCGTTTTACAAAGGTGTCCTAGGATTCTATCTGAGGATAGTTGATCCGGAAATTTAACAGGTATTACACACATTTCCGCCCATAAGCTCGATCAGGTGTGCCGTATCGTGCGGTGCAAACCTGTGTGCATTGGGGGGGGGATTAGCCAGAGCGTTTCAGATGGGTAGTGGATAGTTTTCTTGCCAGCTGTATTCCCAAGAAGATGACTCGTAGAAGCCATTAGTGTTGGACCCTTGCAATGAGCACGGTCTTGAATCGTTCGAGTCGTTAGGGGAGCAATCTATGGGATTGGTGAATGCAAACGTCCCATTAGGGTACCGTTTCTGTGAAAAGCCTACTGGAACAGTGAGCGTCAGGGTTTTCAGAAATACTGTTTTTATACCTTTGAAACCATCGCTGACGACGGATGGATCCCAAACATTGCGGTAAAACTATAATAATTATAACAGGCTTGAATTATGAGTATAAGAACTGATCGTCAGACATACCAAAGAGCGATTCGTATACTTTTCTACATCATCGCTCTTACCCAAAAGCTGAGCGACTTGTCGGATGCCAAAGTCTTCAAAGGCATACTAAGAAAATATGCGGTCATGATAAGTATTCGCTGATGAAATGTTCACTTAAACTAACCTCCAACGTCCTACTCCCCTCCCGGGTCTGCCTCCCGGTGCTAGAAACGTCCAAAACTGAAAATGGGACATATCCATATTGCCTGAAGTTCAGAGATTGTTCAGGTGTCCTGTGCATAGTTATTAAAACTTTGTCACTCACTTGTAGACATTGACCTGTCGGCCCTGGATGTTCCATTCTGGCGGATTCACATCGCCGTCGGCCAACAATGCAGAATATAGTTCATCGAGGTTGACGCCCAGGCGAGCTGCCTCATTGTGATAATTGACGGCGAAATGTGCGACGATGTTGTCTGCACTCGAGCCTAGCATTTTCGGCTATCAGTTTCGCAGGGTAAAAGTCTTTTATGAAAATGCTAACCTCCTTGTGTCCATCCAGGAAGGTTGTTTGCGCGACACTCTGGCATCCACCCATTTTTTCGCCATCCGTCGATATAGTTGTCGACGATCTGGGCGAACTCGACTGGCGAGTGGAGAGCTAGTAAAGGATAGAAAGTCCTGAACTGTATATCAAAGCATGCCGCTCAGAGTGTGGGAGATATCGGAAAGAATCTAGTCTTACGGTATCCCAACTATATAGGATAACCCTATTAGACATCGAGCTACCACAAGTCAAGGGAATCACGTACCTGCAATACAACGAATCAAAATAAAACGACGAAGTGCTTTCGAACGCGCCCTGTGTCTCTCCGGTCGCGTTGTTCTGTACCCAATATATTCAGAAAACGTTGCTGATTTTTGCGCAAATTTAAACGTACCGGGGTGAGCGAGGCACGGTACAAGGACGAATACAGCATCTCCGTGACATTCGCAGGGGTATTGGTGACATCAATCTCCACCCTCTTAAGCTTGTCCTGCCACTCCGCTTTGGCACGCTCCCAGATCTGCTCAAACGACGCGTCCCCAACCTCACTCTCTGCGTTCGCACACGCTTGATCGGCAGAGCGGAACGACACCCCCACACGCAGTGTGATCTGCGGCGCTGAGGGGGGGTTGATGTCGTACGAGAACAGCGCGCCGGATTGGTATACCCCTCCGATGAGGTTTAACGTGAGGTTGAGTCGCGTCTGCCCAAGCCCCTTCGCATCGAGCCCGTAAGCGTCACCTGTCCACACTCCGTACTCACTCAGTTTCTGCTTTCCCCCATTTAGGAGATCGTAGCACGCGAACGCCTGGTAGTTGTATCTCCCTGGACCAAAGCTAGATATAAGGACGCGTAAGAATCATAGTTCATGTTAAGGGGGAAACTTGTACCTTGAGCCCCATCGCCCGCCGATAGTGATTCTTCCTTTCCCCGGGTCAATATCCAGTGTGCCACCGGCGAAAGAGACGGGGAGGTCGTTGGAAAGATCTAGGACGAAGTATGGCTTCGAGCCGACAGGGAAAGTGAACCGTTCCAGACCCGCACGTCGCGTCGCTGTAGCCTCCATCTTTATGTTATTGTCGAGAGTCTGTGCAAAGTATCCGGGGGAGGCGTCTGAACAAATTGAATAAGTATTCAACAGGATTCGATCATAGAGGGCGCGTGCCATCTGTATTCAGTTTGCGTAGACGCTGGCGTGCTGCGAGTATTGTGGTGCAGGTATTGAATCCTCCGGGGCACAATAGTGGCATAACCTCAAAGTTCCCATACGTTCCTGTAGGCGGTATACCTATGTAAACTCGTGATATCGGCAGGTGGGCTTACCAAGTGAGGAACCAGTTCCGCTGTCGTGCAAAGGGCTGATACCTCGAATTTTCTGCGTGGGGTCTGTGATATATCCTGTTTCACTTGAGCTTTAATACTTCGGCAAGATATACTATGGCATTGAATTACCAGCAGGGGCATAGCCTGTTAGGTCGGTGGAGAATTTCACCTATTTTTTGAGTGAATGGTAAACCTTGACTTGAGCCTCGAGGCGCATAGAGCTTACCATACCAAAAGGTACAGATGCACCGGGACTGCCAATTTTATGAGGGATGTAACGCCTTCTGCAGTACTCAAAACTTACCAAACATCTCCATCGTTGTCTTGGTTATGGTTCATATTCAGCGTAATAAAAAAAGCGACATTCTGACGGCCAACCTGTGCCAATGAATGGATTCACAAACGCTGTATAGTCGGGATTTGGTTGGTTAGCAGCAGCCCGAATGGCAGCCGAAATTCTCTTCTGAACTTCAGGCGAGGGCTGCGCCGACACGAACGAGAGGGACAGACCAAGCAGCAGCGCTGCAGGAGATCTCAAGAGGAGCATAGTGAATAGATGCTTGAGTTTAGATTCATCCCCAGCCTCTTTATCATCGGTTCCTCTGGTCTTCGAAAAAAGAACCATCAGAGCAGAGCACATGGAAAGTGTCAAGAAGGCGAACGTAAGACCTCGTGTTCCGGTGAGCGCATTGGAGGAAATGATTTTGAAGCTCGCAGAAATAATAGGAGTGCCCGATACGGCATCGAGATCCTGTCTCATGATCAACAGTTCTATCGTATTGCAGGTATGTACGACGCTCCATCAGATTTGTGCGGCTCAGAAGCGCGGGTTGCGAGGCAAGACGATTTCGCAGAGGGTATCCAGCGTCTTGAGCCCCGAAAATGCCACTTTGGTGGAGCCCTGTATCTTGTGAGGGTGCGTTGGACCTACCTACTTGGTTTGACCTTGGCTTACAACACCTGCATGACACAAGTCAGGAATCGTTTCAACAGATTAAAACTTGGCCTACCCACGCCCGTAGCTCTTAAGCGCGACCTTTTGAATTTCTGATATGATGAGATCGAGGCCTTCGTTGTTCCAGAATTGACGTTCATAAGATGCTACTTTGCGCATAACGTATGTAGCGGCGTCGGTCTCGTCGCGTCCTATGCTGACGTGAAACGATAAAAGCAAAAGCCCATTTCGCCACCTAGTGCAGAGGCAGAGATGATATTCTTGATGTCATTGTGGCCGTTCGCGGACCCACCAACTCGGACATGCAGTGTTTCGATTTTATGCGAAAGTGAGTCTGACAGACAACCCAGAGGGGTCGGCGAGGACACAGTCTTGCGGTATGCCGCAGCAATGGAGGGGTCGGATATGTTCATAAGTGGCTCTTGAAAATAAAAGAAACAAGGGT